ATATATATATATATATATATATATATATATATATATATATATGTATTATATCATGTCAACTGTCAATGTACCTACAAAATGTTGCAATATTTTGCAATTATATATAAAAATTAAACAATATGAAACATTTCTATTTCATTACTCGTTATAATTTAGAATTAGCTATATAATACGCATACATCAATAAGTATTATAAATATTTTTTAATTAATAACAATTATTGAAAAAATTATTTTTAATATCTTTCGGTTAAAATAAAATTTTAATTTTAAAAAACCATATGATTTTGGAATGTCGTTACAATAAATCCACGTAGCAAAAAAAAAATGAAAATTGCAGAAATATAATCTGCTTTACATGATCCAATTTATTCAATGTGGAATCTCTGATTTCTGCAGTCTGTTACATTTGTTAGTTGCCTGAGAGTGCTATTTATATACAGTAAATTCTATTACTATTTTGCACATCTTAGACTAGTTTCATATAAAATGTAGTGAACTTATTGCTAACATCTGTTGTAATCTCTTTTGCCTTTTCATATGTCTTATCGCTCAATTTCTTAATGTAGAACGCTCAATTTCGTGAAATCTCTTATTAAGATGCCAAACTTCAAATAAAATTAATAATATACAAACCAAATGTAGGTAAAAATGAGTATACAAAAACAATGAACAAATATGGACAAGTAATATCTCAATATTAATATCAGAATTGTAGGATAAAGCTGCCCTCGCTAAAAGCACGCGATTAATAGCGTTCATGAGGAACCTGATATAAAATATACCGAGTGTATATTATAAACATGTCAAGTAAAATACTACATGTAATTATGGACGTACATTGTGTATTCAAATTTGTTTTTGAAATAGGTCTTTCTCTCGTAATGTACGAATTCTTCCGACACTTCGCCTGGTTAAAGTAACTTTATTTTAATATATTTTAATATATAGCATATTATAATTAAGTTTGTTCTTCTACTTCAAAATAGCGTTCCTTGTTATATTTATGCACTTTAATAGTACTTACTGAATCACACAACTTCTTTCAGATTATCACGAGTCTCGCGATTACGGGAATGTATCAAATGATGCATTTCACCTCCAGGTGCGCTATCTCGTCTTAAATCTTTCATCAACGAAGGAGCTATTACTTCTCTTTTATTCGCCGCTTCTTTTATACTCGATAATGTCTTACTAAGCCACGGCCAGCTGTTTCTCGCTGCTTGAAGTTCAGAAGCAGTTGCATGCAACTGATGTGTCAAATCCTACAAAACAAGCTGATCTTATAAATCTAGTTCTAGGAACTATCCAGAAATAATAAATAATATTTTATTTACCTGATTTCTGCATTCAGCTTCAACGTGGGCCAATTTTGTTTGGGCTAACTCTAATTCTAATTCTCGTACTCTCTCTTGGACTCTGTGCAACATGGGATCTATTCGATTTTCTAAAGGATGTGCAATGTCTGCTAATATATTGGACGAATCCATTATGCAACTTTTACACTTATCACATTTTGAAACTTTAGCCTACAAAACAAGATTATTTATAAATTACCACACATGAATTCAATGGGAAATTCCACTTACTCGTAATTCACTAAGTGTTGTCTTTGCAGCATTGTAGTCATCTTCCAAACGTTGACAAATCTAAAATAAATTTTTGATATATGACTCTAATAAAATTAATGATTTCATATGATAAATATAATTTATATACGTATACCTGTTTGTATTCAGCAATAATAATATTGCTTCGTCGGCTTTCTGCATCTGCTCTTGCAACTTCCCGTTGTAGCATTTCCTTAACTTGGGCCAATTCGGCTTCTAATCTTTGTTTTTCTTCTTCGTTTCTCGCTACCGTACCGCGTAGTTGTTCTACTTCATTGCTATACTCATCCGCATTTTCTTGCGCTTCTACACGAGAAAAAAATAAAATGTAATGTTAACATATCTATTTGAAACATTTATATAGTATATTTTATGAGTTTTCTGAAACATTTATATTAGATTTAGCAGATATCTAAATATTATAATTTTTCATTGTCATTGTATAAGAAACTTATAAATACAATCTTACTCTCTATCAATGCTTTTATAATATGGCTCATGACTTCAACAATGAAGCATTGAAAATGAAATGATTTTAATGTAACTGGCCGACATGCGATATCTTGCAAAAGCAGATGCTAGTTCCACATATATTCTCTGTACAAAACATACCATGTGTCTACTCGTACAACTGTTAACTATATATGCTGTTGCCTGTACATAGCTTGTAAATGCATAGATAATACTTTTGATGAATCACTGTGTTCAAGGTATAAGAAATGACAAATAAGTATAAATTCAAAGTATCTAATCTATACTTTTAAAATGTTTGTTACTACTTTACCTAACAGACGATAGATTTTTACCTTTACAACAATAGATTTCAATATTTCAATTCAATATTGCAATCAAGCCTTAACAACTTTGTATACAAACTCTTGTTGAAATTGCTTTAGTATTACATTATAAAAACACTAATTTGCAAATAATTTGATAATAATTTTTTTGATTCTATGTAGATTCTATATAGCATAATTTCTTTGATTCTATAATTAATAAATATTGAAATGAAACTGTAAATTTTTGCATAGATTTTAATTAAAGCAAAAATATAAAACTTTTTCATAAAAAATAAGGAATAGGGTATACAGAGGTAAATTGACAAAATTAAAAACAATATTCTAAATGGACGATTTATTTCTAATAAGAAAAAAATAAATAATTTTTTTTATAAAAATTGATACACAAGATAGTATACAAAGCATTATGGCTGCATAAGCACAAAGAAATATTATTTTAAACAACATAAAATTACAAAAATTCACAAATATTACAACATAAATAATTCAATTAAAAAAAATGAGTACAATTTTTGTACAGACAGTGCTTTTTGTTCATAATAAGTAATGCTTCATTAATACGAAAAAATGTCTGCCTTAAGCATAACCATTTAAAACAAAAAATATATAAATCTTGCAAAGAATATATTGCTATTATAACATAGTATGATTTCAACCAGTTTATTGAATCAAAA